AAAGGTCATGTCATATTCCTGTTTTACAGCCAAAAGTTAGTCTAGATATCAATTTTCAGTTAATTATCTTTATTCTATTTGAAGATATGGCTAATTGAAAATGCAACTTTACAAATATGTCATAATTGATAGCAAGATCATGATCTGTCTCTTATACACATCTAGATGGGTATAAGAGACAGCTTCTAAACGACTTGGAATTGGCAAGTCAAATTTTGGGTTTGTTCGTCAGACATGTTGGTGCACATTATATCCGAGTTTCAAGAAAATCTGAGACGGTACCCAGCCATGATTTTCTGAAAATTTGTTGAGTTGGCACGGAATGACCCAGTAGTAAGATTAAGTAAGACTAAAAAGTGAGTCTGACAATGCAGGTGAGAAAGGGAACAATGTGAGTTGTGCTCTGCGGAGCTGAGCTGTTATACTGTGAATAGTTTTCCTGTAAGAATAGAGAAGAATAGAACCCAGTTGTTGTACTATTATAGTATTTAATAAAATGTCAGCGTCATTACACAGACTTGAAACCTGGACCTTTCGCATATGGCGAGTTTCATGACCAAGCACCGGTAGAATCTGAATTACTTTTATCGGTTCCGACGTCGCAATGTTAATATAACATTATTATTGCATGTGACTGGACTGCTAGTAATTTATAAGATACGCCGTTTTCTGTGCATTATTTTCATCTTGCAGTATCATGAATGACATGAGTTCAATGGAACTCATTTAAACTACATACGCAAGTGATTTTATGGCATTAGGGAAAAACCCAGAAACAACAAGCGGAATAATGAAATAAATATTAATCCTCAAATAGATCATACAAATTTACCTTGACATGGACCAAGAATCTCAATTCTTAGACTAATTTCTTCATACCAACTGAGTGGACTGATGCGGATAAATTGAGCGTCAATAGCAGATTTGAACATTTGAGTCACCTCTGTGTTTTGATCCGTGTTTCCACTAAAGATCTACAAAAAATACACATTTTAGATAATACTTTATTTTTGTATTATATTATATTAGATTTATATCATGGGCATCACTTTCATGAACATAGTCCTATTTACTGTTTTATTTCTATATTTTAAAAACAAATATATTCAAATGATAAAAACACAAAAAAATACCAAACTGGCAAAGTTATTTTCATTGTGGTCTAAAATATTAAAATTAAATACAGAAAAAGAAACAATCAAACGAAAACAGATCAAACAATCTAACATTTACAAAATACAATGAATTCCAATACAGTAGAACTCCCATTAAGGGGACATCCCCAGGACCAAATTGTCCCCTTAATAGGGGTGTCCCTTGAATAGGGGTACCTCTATTCTGGGGACACCCCCATTAAGGGGACACTATTTTTGGTCATGTAATGTTAACAATTTATTATTATACTTTTTTACATTTCTTTTTAATTATTAAATTGAAGGTGGACTTTGAATTAAAATTGGAAGTGAATTCTATAGAGTACCAAGTAGTGCCCGCTTTTGCAAATAAGACGTTGTTTACTGTTCATTACACCTGAATGCCTGTAGACTTTCTGCATCTTAAAATTGAATATTTTACCATCAAAATATACTAAAAACACAAAAGCTCGCATTATATTAGTTATCGAACACACATTTAATCATCAATAAAAATCTACTAAGAAACACTAAGCTACAACATCTTAATAATTACGTTAGAAATTTGGATCAATGGTTTGTCAGTGGAGAAAATGGCGTCCTGTTGAATTCTTTCTGCAACAATAGCAACAGAGTAGCCTCACATGGTATCGTAATGTAACACTGTAGTACTTTATATTTAGATGGCTGTAATTTGATAGCTGCACCTGTTGTGAGTCCTATAAATAACTGGTATTTGGAGTGAAAGAAGTTTCTTGAAAATCTTGTTTTGTGATTGTGTTAACTGTATTTAGGTAAGTTGTAAATGTTTCTTTCCTTTCTTGAAGATTGCTTGGTAACTAATTGAGTTTAGTAACTGTATTTGTGCTAACCAGAGCATGTGGTTAAAAGTTCAAAATGCATCTAATCACCTTGTTTTGTGACGTTTGAAGTTTATTTGTAATAAATTCATTTACACAGGAGTATCCGATATACAACACCCGTAGTCGAAATAACACTAAGTATTAGAGTTTGGTCAAGATCATGATATTTGATTGATAATTTTGCCTTTATTGTATAATAATGCTGTTACAAGTTTTTTGGGGTTTTTTCACATTTTATTAGAACCAAATAAACAACTAGATTTGAACTCGTTACTGAAGACGAGTTAGGTGATCCGCTGCACTTTGACCCTCAGAAAGAGCGCACAGTGCGGATTGGAAAATTTTTAAATGCTAAAAATGGCATAAACATCCTCTAATTTATTTTTTTTATTTTCATTTTATTTTTTTAAATATTAATTTTTGGCATTTTACTAGAGAGCGCAGCAGACACCTTTTCTGCAACATCAGACAGTTTTGTTATCATAGAGATATAAGAAGAATACTAGAGCGCTAAATGCAATGTATTTGATGTTCAAAATACACAGAGCTGTGTGTGTGTGTACCATCCATGATGGCTGCCATAGATTTAGCCAATCAAATTTAGCCTAAGCGAAATCATTTGCAGTTGCATCCTCAACTTACACAGAAAGTTAAGTACAGCTAGTTTACCCGTACGTTTGAAACTTGAGCGTTGCGGTGTATGGGTGTAATGTACACAATTTTAATTTTCATTCCTTGCTAATATATTTTTGAATCAGTGAATCAATAAATCAACGTGACATTTATTTCACCAAAGACAACAAAAAAATATCATAGAGATATAATAAGAATACTAGAGCGCTAAATGCAATGTATTTGATGTTCAAAATACACAGAGCTGTGTGTGTGACACTGTTAAAAATTTTCCTGTAAAATTACCGTCAAAATACTGGCAACCAGGACGCCAGTACTTTACCGTAATGTAAAATTACATTTCCGTTAAAAATAAA